ATAGCCTCATTGCCACCGTCGTTCCTCCCATTTCCCTTACCTTTCGGCTCCTTGCCAACACTTCGCCGCCGCCGCCGTAGCCTCCGTCGAAAGACATCCGTCGTGCCCAGCCACGCCTACGTGATCGCCTCGGCCTTGCGCCTCTCTCTGTGGCTTGCCTACGCCACTTGGGTTGGCGGAGTCGCGCCGTATGAATCGCTTCTTCCCCGAGCCGTGGGAGCTCCACCGCAAATCAAGCTCGCCCAGAGCGAGGATGTTCAGTGTCTCGACTCCACCGAGCACATCAACGTGTTCGTGGTGAGTCCCCGATCGTGTTTCACCCTTCGCTTTAGACTCTCATGTGTTGTTGTTGCCGGTGATCGCCGTGTGTCACGCGTTTATCGCCGCAAGTGGGCACCATGGCCGTCGTAGTGTCATCTCCGGTGTACTGCTTTGCTTGTCCAAGGGTCGGGATAGGTCCGCCGTGAGGTGGTGATCATGTTGGTACCAGTCCCCTCGCTCGAGCCTCGCCGACGGCGCGTTTTGCCGGTCGGAGTCGGCAGCGCCGCCGCGCCCTGTCTCTGTGACGCTGACACGCGGGGTCGACCTATCAGAGAGAGAGAACAGTGAGCTTTTTCTAATTTCTGAATTTTGAATAGTGCAGCAATTTTGCAATTTTGTAGGAATTTATTTACAGATCTAAAAATTCTGAAAATTTGTGGGTAGCTTCTATATATGTTCTACTATGGTTTAAAAATATGAAACTTGAAATTTGGATGAATTTTTAATGTTCAAAAATTCAGTCAATTAATTAATAAATGCAATTTCCATGATTTTTGTAGGCCACTGTATAACTCCAAAAATTATGAAATTTATTTTGGTACACTAATTTATCATGAGGATGCTTGTGTAAATTTTTGAGATCATTTGGAGCAAGTTCATTTTGAGCTTAATTCTAAATTAATTCAAAAATAAATAAAGGTAAACCCTAAGTGTAGGTTTAGGGTTTGATCTTGATTTGGGTCGTGTTTTGTGACCAGTGGGGTGTCAAGATCAATTTAGTTGAGTCACTTAGGTCATAAGCCCTAGGTCAGTAAAGTGTGATTAAGGTTTACTTAATGAATGATTTCATCCATTAAGAGTAGGACTAGAAATGAAACCTTAAGGAAGTTCTTTTAGAAGGATGTAGGGTCTCTTAGTAACATGTTGTGTTGTCCTTAATGGTAGAATTGGAAGTGGTTTTGTTGGCTTGCAACTATACCGCGAAGAAAAGTTGTACTCAAGGTGTTGTTATATTTCATGTACCATGAAAGCATCATGTTTACATTATCATCATGTTGAAGCATATGTTATTATATCGTGTAGAATCCGAGAGTGAACCGATTCTAGTTGAACAAGTGGTGGGAGAATCCCCGGTTGTCGCGGGATTCGATATTCGTGGTGTTGATCCAGAAACCGAGATCGTCAACGAAGGCAAGCCCCGGTTTATGCATTAAACCATTACCTTATTTACTTTGAAAAGTTTATCACTTATGTTACTTATTGCATTAAGTTGATTTACTTCAAATGTTGCCTACTTGATGCATTGCCTACCTTGTTATTTGTTTACCATTCTTGAAGATGATTTTATTTACAAAGGCGTAGAATGCTTAGTATGCTTTATGGTAGGCTTTCAAAGTAAAAGTTTCGATACAATCAAAGATGGCATACTGGCCAAAGAAAGAAAGAAAGAAAGAAAGAAGATAGAATGAACTAGAGACTAGTCGGGTGGCTTATCTTGAATGTTGGGTAATGTTGCCGACTATGTCACTTAAAGGCCACTCATTGTGGATCTTCTGAACGAGACACTTTGTAGTACTGGTCACATACTCCGGTAAGCCTACTTCAGCTAATCCAATACTAAGACGAATGCCCACGCACTGGGAGTGGTGAGATGGCGGGAGTAGCGTGTACCCTCGTGGCTTGAATGTGTGGATTTGAGGTGTGCTGTGCTCTCGGGTGGCGTGGAGACGGCTTAGTACGGGAGGATCCGGTAGGGAGGTTGATATATGTAAGATTAAGTTCTACATATGTCGTGTGATAAGGAATCCCCAGCTGGGACTTGAATCAATTCGAATTGCCAGTGCTCCGCGGATATGGAGACTCGATTCATTACAGAAGCAATGTAGGACTGGTGAATTACTAAAACATGAGAAAAAGAATGGAATAAGAAGGATTGGAACATGGGATATGAACACTTAGTTGGAGATATTGAACTAAAATACTTAGTGGTAAAACTTGAAACTAGGATCAAGAATAGTAAGCTTTTGGTAAAGAATTTTTGAATCTTTCTACATCCTTACCTTGACCCAACACCTGCATCCCTAAGACCTTCGTCCTTTTTGGTCGGGTCAGTCTTGTTGAGTACTTTTGTACTCAGGGTTTGTTAACCCTTGTTGCAGGTGAGTCGCATGCACAGGCTTGTTTTGGTCCCTGCTGCATGTCAGTGTTTGAAGTCGATGACGATGAGGAATGATGAATGGTCTTTGGACAAGACACTAGTTTGTGTGAAATAAATAATGTTAATGTAATATTATCCCGCTACTATGGTTGTATGACACTTATGGTTTTTTAAGTTTGAAACAACTGGTTTGTAATATTAAAACTTAAGTCTTCCGCTTTATAATCTCTGGTATGTATATTGAAAACTGTTGTAATCTGCAATGACTGTGATTGGGATCCTGTTTGAAAAAAATTCGTGGATGATTCGGGTTTCCCGAGGACACCCGACAGATCTGTTAAGTTGTTGGGAACTTGTGTACGCTATCTGAGGTCTGTTGAGACATCGATAGGTGCACGTGGGCCCGATTTCTTAGGAGGTTCTGCCACATTACATAATTATTCTTTTGATGCTTTCTATTTCATGTTGTTTGGATTGGAAATGCACAATGAAAATTATGCACATCTGACAACCGTTATGTAGTATATGCTTACGAATGGCTATATTGTTATTGTTAGTTTGCGACAATTAGTCAGTCTGATGAAATGCACCAGTTGATTAAAAAATAAGCACTAACCCAATCAGTGCATTCTGGTTGCACATACTAAAGACGCATACACGCCAAGCATGCTAAGATGGTGAAGGTGATCAGTCGCCAGTCATGCTGAAGATAAGATCAGTGATAGTCTCATGGGTTCTCAAAATTCACTATCATGTCATAGGTATGTTAGACTAGATAGTCTGGATAAGGAGCTCCACGTGGAAACTCAACAATGTATTACTTTCCATTGTCAATCTAATACCCCACCCGTTCCAAATTATAAGACGTTTTGACTTTTCTAAATACATTGCTTTCACTGTGCATCTAGACATAGTATATATCTAAGTACGTAGCAAATGTCATGAATTTAGAAAAGTCACGTAGGTTGTTGAAGTCACTTGGTTCTATTTAGATTTTAGACCGTGCGTTTAGGTTGTTGAAGTCACTTGGTCTTTTACGTAGTTTGGATCGTTGACTAATAGTAATAGATAATGAGAGCATAATTAAACACCAAAAAAGGACCGTAAAAAATTTAAGTAACTCCAAACTAGGCAGCAGGATGTAAGGAAAAATATATTTGTTTAATTACATAGTTTTCTAAGAATTTTTTTTGGATATTTTCTATAAAGTTCATTTTTTTGCGAATTATATGAGCACAGAGGCAGACGCTCCTATAAATTATTAAAGCAATCCAATTTATCACCCTTACAACAGACATACTCTGTAGCATCAAATAGGGCAACCGACGTGACGTCACGTAGGCGATCAGGTTGAAAAAAACAAATGTTTTAAAAGTTGAAGAAGGGACAAACATATATGGTTTCATAGCTGGAGGAGGAAAATCATGTCTCAAACATAGTTGGGGACTTGGGGGCGATGAGAGGACCTTTTCTGGGCAGAAAACTATATACATGTCCATTTGGCCCAGCATCGACCGCCCAAACTCAGAAGGCAATGTGGTTCAAATTCCAGCGAAATTTGTCCCCTCAACTAAAAGAGATCATATAAGATTTAAATAATTCCAAACAAGTTATAGTAATATAAAAGCATTATTTTAGAAAAAAAACCGTTTTTATAGTTTTTCAAGCTAAAGCATTTTCTATAAATTTTCTAGATTAAATCATATTTTGAGATTTTAAATTACATACCTTTTTCACAAAAGTATTTGGATTTTTTAAATATCTCTATAGTTGTTTGGTAAAGAAATTTTATTTGACCCTATGCTATCATCTTAATTCGATTTATCTCTCCACAAGCCGACAAACATCTCATAGTGGCTTTTGATAGAATCTATTTGATCTCCCAACTATCATGGCATTTCGATTCGTCTCTCTCGTAGCTAACGTCGTGTCTCACTGTGATAGGTTCTGTATGGATGTGTATGTAGGGTCGAATGTACGCATGCTTTAGAGCTTGTCGGCCTCTTCGCTGATTGGTTTCTGGGCTGGTTTAGGCTGGCTGGTGTTGATTTATTGTGAGAGAAAAATACTATTGGCTGACTGGTTTGGGCTGGCTGAAACTAACAAGCGAACAAGCTGTCTGTGTTGGTATAATTCAAAAAAAAAAGTCATAAAAATGTCCCAATTCTGTCCATGTACTTTGAAGTGCCCGAGACACCGGCTCGGTTCATTAAGTTTTGGACAAGGTCGGTCCGACTGGAAACCAAAATGTCAGGAAGGAATTTGTGTTTAGTAATGTCAAGGAAATTTCTTTTTTTTTTACACACATGGAAGTTTCCTGGAATGAACAATGAATAATCCACAGGAAAACCGACTTGATCTGATCTGGGCAAACGAGCGTCCCCACCACGTGACAGGGCAGCCGAAGAAGCGCCGCGCCGTTTCACTTCGGCGCGTGCGCTGTGCGCTCTCTCGTCTTCCCCCCGCCCCGCCCGCTTACCCCAAATTTCCCCAGCATTCGCATTCGCATTCGCATTCGGATTTCCCCCCCACCCACGGCTCCACCCCGAACCCCAACCGCCTCCGCCGCGCCCTCCGTCCCATGGCGTCCCCCTCCCTCGCCGCCGCGGCCACCAGCCCCGCCTCCTCCCCACTAACCCTAGACGCCATCCCCCTCGCCTCCCGCCCCGCCCCCGGAGCCGCCGCCACCGCCGCCGCCCCGCGCAAGCGGTCGGTCCTCCTCCTCGACCACCGTTCGCACCCCGCCTCCCTTACGCCCCCGCTCCTCTCCTCAACCGCCGCCGCCACCGCCGCCGCGTCCGCTCCGCACGCGCGCCGCAAAAAGACCTCCCACCCTCCCCGGCCGCGGTGGCAGACCGTGCTCAGCATCGCCGCCAAGAACGCGACCCTCCTCGCCGGGCTGCTCTATCTCGGGGGCCTCGCCTGGCGCTGGTCCCACCCGCCCCCGCCCTCCCCGCCGCCCGACCGTGCCGCGCTCGAGGGCTACGCCGCCCGCGTCGATCAGGTCGAGGCCTCCCTCGCCCGCACCTTCCGGATGATCCAGGTGCAGCTCGAGGCCGTCGACCGCAAGATCGACGGCGAGGTCGGCGCCGCCAGGGGCGACCTTCTCGCTCTGCTGGAGGAGAAGCGGCTCGCGCTCGAGGGCCAACTCACGCGGCTCGACGCGAGGGCCGGGAGCTCGGCGACGCGCTGGCCGGGCTCAAGCGGATGGAGTTCCTCCGGAAGGACGAGTTTGAGAAGTTCTGGGACGAGGTGAAGGGGAGTCTCGGCTCGGGTTCCGGGAGCGAGGTTGATCTGGACCAGGTTCGTGCCTTAGCCAGGGAGATCGTCATGAGGGAGATTGAGAAGCATGCTGCAGATGGGATCGGCAGGGTTGACTACGCCGTGGCCTCAGGTGGGGGAAGAGTTGTCCGGCATTCGGAGGCCTATCTGCCTAAACGTGGTGGTTTGACGGCCTGGATACCTGGAGTTGACGTGGGGGCCAAGCCAGAGAAGATGCTTCAACCGAGCTTTGGGGAGCCTGGACAGTGCTTTGCCATACAGGGTAGCAGTGGGTTTGTTGAGATCAAGCTCAAGTCTGGAATAATTCCTGAGGCAGTAACACTTGAGCATGTGTCTAAGGTAAGGTTTTTGGCCACCCAACATTTTAGTATTGCATGGCTATGTGCTTAATTATAAACTGCGTTTGTCTTTTAAATTAAATATTAAATATTATTGTAAGCGGTGGATGACATTGTCTAAGTACGAATGTAGGAATGTAGGATGCGCCACCAGTTACTGAACTTACTGCTTGTTAAAAGTTTAGATTAGTTTCTTGATGGGCTTAATGCATTATGTTTGTAGCATTGAGTCTGATTGTATTCAATTGCAGATAGAAGCCCCTCAAATTATGCTTCATGATTACAGTCCTAAGCATTTCATGTTAAATTTGAATCGGCTTGTAATTATTATTCCATGTTTATGGGCATCATCATTACATGCATAAGCCAGTAAAGGAAGAATGAATCTTATTTTTGCAATCAATGCTGGTGCTAGGAAATTTTCTTTCTAGTTGTATCCTTACTGAAAACTGAACAAGACTGACTCTTTCAAATCATGTATGTATTAATATGAAGTTGTGGTGTGTTCTTGAATTGGCTTGCTTTGCTTGCTTTCCTTTTCAGCTTGGTAAACAATACTTGCTATTCTCATTTGTAAATATTTTTGAATTGTGATACTGATCAAGATCTAGTCCAATGCATTTTATTGAATAATTGAGAAATGGGAAATTGGTTTGTCACCTCTGGGAGTCATTTGTCTGACTTGAAGTGAATTGCATTGCCACGTTTCTTTTTCTGTTGAGAAAATTATGAAATAGTACTACTACTCAACTTGTTTTTTCCTTGTTGTCAATCTCAGTTTTGATAATTCCAATTACTTCTCGCAATGGGCTACTAGATTTAGTAAAGAGGACGTGTGTAGTACATTAATTGTTCCAGATCAGGATCTTTATATTAGTATCGGTAATATGCTAACTGAATACTTACTGTTTGAAACCTGGGTACTCTTGTATTAGGTTGGCAGTTTTATTTGTAACTATTGTGACAAATGAACTTGTTTTGTTAGATTAGTATTGAAGGTGTCATAATATGAAGAGAGCCTCATTTATCTTTGAACAATCTCCTTTTATGCTGTTCATTTTGATGTTTGAGAACTATTCACTTCCAAGCTCTTCCAGACTGTATGCCAAATGTTGCTTTATGGTTTGTTTCCTCGTGACTGTTGCTTCTTTTGAGTGAACTTTTGCTCTCGTGTCCTGTTAATTGTTACTGTCATGTTTCAAAAAAAGGGGGAAAAACTGTTACTGTCACTTTACAATATTGGCATTATGTAAATAGCTATGCAAGAATTACTTCCTTTTTGTTTCATCTAAGATGGCAATGCTGAGCCCACTCATTCAGCTGGTAGAGTGCAGGTGTTAGTACTTGTTCACTGGTTATCTTGACAGAGAAGGGGAAAAACTCTAATAAGCATCATCTAAATTGGCAGCATTTATGGGGATTTAGCTGCAGTTTGGTAAACATAAAACTGTACAGGAAAATTTACATAGCTATTGAGTGCATGCATTTATCGTCTTTATTTGACCACAGTGAAAACAACACATGTTAGTTCTGAAGCTAGCATGGATACTTACTCTGGTGCATGACATGCAGGATGTGGCATATGACAGGTCTACCGCTCCAAAAGACTGTCTGGTGTCTGGATGGTACGAGGAGACGCCTGGTGAGACCCAATCCGGTCATGCTGCAAGGATGGCTTTGGCAGAGTTCACGTACGACTTGGAGAAGAACAATGTGCAGACATTTGATGTGTCAGCCCCAGATGTAGGCGTTATCAATATGATCCGGTTGGATTTCACTTCGAATCACGGAAGCTCGCAGCTGACGTGCATGTACCGCCTCCGGGTCCATGGCCATGAACCGGTTTCTCCTGGAACTGCAGGTTCTCAGGCCTGAGTTGTGGAAGCCCTGTGTTTCTGTTTGCTACGTGATTCACTTGACGGTCCGTTCTTTGTGCCCAATCTAGTTTTGGTCTAGGGCTGTCATGTACACACTGTAAATCTAACAATTGTTTGCTGGTAGCCAGGCGTCTTCCTAGGTCCTAGTCCAGTAACATGTGGTAGGTGGTTAGTTTGTGCTATGAACACATGGAATTTCAACAGTATTTTGTTGTGCAATTGTTTGTTTGAACCTTGTCAAGGCTTGTGCTGTTGTCTTTGGTTTAAGCAAACTTCCACTGATTTCCCGTTTCCAAATTCCAATGATGGATGATCTTTGTAGCAGGAACAGATCCTTTGCTATTTTTTAAATATATATTCTTCGATCCTTGTAATTGAATTCATTCTAATAATTATAATTTATGCACAAATTAATTAAGCTAATATGGTTGTATATATAATATATTTGTATATTATTATTAGTTGTTCAAGGGAGATACTTCTATGTTGCATTTCTACTATATGAAAACGAGTTGAAGACTATGCTATAAGTTGGGGAGCAGAAACATAGCATGGTGATCCATAGAATCAAATTACATCTCTCGCCCTATGATATGTGAACTTGGAAAAATTGTGAAATATCAAATTTTAAACGAATAACCTAATTTATCGAGTAGATTCTAATTCCTCTAAAATAAAAGGATCAAACGGCCCCTTTATGAAAGTCGTGAGCCCTAGATTTCGTAGAACAATGCTCCTTGCTCCATAATTCCATGATCCTTTGTGGATGAAGGACTTGCACGAATCTCAAAGCTGACTTTCTAGAAGTCAGCTTGTCTCGTCGTCACCCCCTGACCCCTGCGCGCGTCTTCATTCTTTCTCCCTGCCCAGCTGAAGGAAGCCGCTTTTGCAGTTTGGACGCGGGACAGCCTCCGCCCTTTCCGTCCGCCGCGACTCGCGAGGAATTCCTGCCGAGGCGTAGAGCAGGTACGGCGCGTGGCTCAGAGCCAGCCTCCCAGTCATTTCATTTGCTGTCCATCCTCCCTCTCTGGATCCGCCGTCTCTGTGCTGCGTCACTCCGATGTTCGTGCTTTCCCCAGATCTCTCATGCTATCGTCTGACTCCTTGCCGACCGCAATCCGGCTCGGCCCACGCATGCGCTGAATGTGCAGGGCGAAGCATTCGTTGGGGGCGAACGTTTAGGGCGGGGATTGGGGAAGACGAAGCTGCGGGTTGGCGCAAGCGAGCAAATTTGGGGTCCTAGCTTGAAGGGCTACCATCTTTTTTGGTTGGTGAGCTACACATCACATGCCAATCTCCCGTTTCCGTACTCTTGTATTGTGTTTATTATTTTAATTATCTCCTGTAATAGCATTTGTTCTGTCTCTAAATAGCTGGGATTGAATTATCTCTTAAAGTTATTGATTTATGATTTTACACCTGTAATTTCTAATTCAGTTCTTTGTTTGATTTCATTGCTCTGTCTGTTGGATCATGAAACTAGCGTCTGTTTGATTTTACATCTATAATTTCTAATTATTTTATTTGTTTGATTTCATTGCCCTGTCTGTTGGATCGTGTAACTAGGGTCTGTTTGGCAGAACGTATTTTTGCCGGCTAAGCTCCACGCAAGAATTTGAAGGATTTTCACCTACGTGGGGAGCTGAAAAAAATTTGCTCCTCTCATTCGCCTCTCTCCGCCTGCGCGCAGTAGGCTGCCATCACCCCTCTCCACGGCCTGATTCGCCTCTGTCTCCATCCGTGCCGCCCTCTCCGCCGCGCCTGACCCAGGTAACTTGTCAAACGGAATCAGTTCCGGAGAATTGGGAGTTAAATTCTGGGGATCCCATCTTCAAATTTATCAGAAATAGTTCGAATATATATAGATCAGAAAGCAAAAACAACAGTTGCCCTCGTGTAGACAATATGTTTACTTTATTTTCTGGGACATACCAGTTTCCTGTTGTCGTTGTGGTATACAATCATATGCGTGCAATCTGAAGCCTTTATGTTTTTTCATGAGACCAACCCCTCTCTTTTTTTTCTCACAGGGATGGCTGGAAAAGGAAGCTATGTTCCTCCACAATATATTCCCTTATACAGCCTAGATACTGAAGAGGATTGTGTCCCAGCTGTGGAAGAGAACCATGCTGCGCACCATAAACTAAACCGGGATCCGACACAATGGTCATCTGGCATCTGTGCCTGTTTTGATGACCCCCAGAGCTGTATGCCACTTTTTAATCTGTGATCCTTGATTTACAGAAGAAAATATAAAAGGTGCTATTTGGTTGCATGTTAGGTTGTATATAGTAAGTAAACACTAAAATGTAATGCTTTTCTTTTCTCTACATACCAAATGTAGCATGTTCTTGTGTTTATGTAGTGTAATAATGATGAATATGTGTTTAAGAGAGAAATATTTGAATTGAGCTATGATATATTAGGATAATCTTCCTTATTAATCTGTAACCCTTCTTGCCTGTTTTCCTACTAGTATTGCTTGGTGGTGGATTTTTAGGCTGAGTTCTTGTAGATAAATAGCAATATCTCTGCATGTTACTTGACATACATGTGATGTGTTCAATCTGTTCAATTCATTACTCATCCAGCGCACTGCACACATATCACTATGAGCTAGCTGTTTTTTTAGGGAAATAATACAGTAAGGTTCCATAGATTCTTATTCTGGTAGTGCAATATGAAAGCAGTCCTACTACTGCTCTTTTCCTTATTAGTATTGCAAACATCGTAAACATGTGAGAATGAGTGAATGAATGGGTTGTGATAGTGGAGAATACCTATTTGTGTTCTTGTTTCTAGGGAGCTATCAATAACCTAATGTTGCCCTCCCATTTATGGGTAGTAAAATATTGGAAAGGTCGGAACTACTTCTCATTGTGAATAATGCAGCTAGCTACCATCTGCACGATCATATTCAGCTGAATTTGATTTTCTTTTTCAAGTTCAACAAAATACTGTAGGATTGGGTTGATATAGATCTTACACTGTTTCAACAAAGCAAGTTAATATTTGGTATTGTCATGTTTGTTGCTGCTTTGAGTTGTCATTCGAAATAATAGTATGAAGTGTTTCCTAATATGTAGCTGTCTGGATTTACATGTAATAAGTAAAAATAGCTAGGTTTCTTCTGCGATATTTCATAAGAAAAAAATATGTAGCTTTAAGCCTCAGCATATCATAAAATAGGAAGTTTGGATAAAATTCTCATTCCTAATTATTTTCTAATGCTTTGTTTATCAGTAGTATATAAATTTGGCTCAACCGAGAAGGCTACAACAAAATGTAGCCATGGTGACTAGGACCAACCAAACAAGATGTTAATAAGATGGAATTGTGCTTGAATAAAACCTCTTTTACCTATCTATTGGGTATTGTATATTTATTCAATCCAGTTTGGAGGTGTCACCATCTATTGCGTAATCATGTAATACTGAAAAATCCCATTTACCTGCATAACAAGATTTTCTGGCCATTTTTCTAGGTTGTATTGGTGCGACTTGCCCCTGTTTTCTTTTTGGAAAGAATGCACAATTCTTGGGATCTGGAACTCTTGCTGGATCATGCACTACACATTGCATGTTGTGGGGCCTTCTCACAAGTCTATGCTGTGTATTTACTGGAGGTCTAGTATTAGCAGTTCCAGGATCTGCCGTTGCTTGTTATGCTTGCGGATACCGCAGTGCACTAAGAACAAAGTACAATCTTCCGGTATGTGGTTTGAACCGCTGCGGTTGTTATATTGGCATTTTTCTTCCCCTGCAAATTGGCAATCAGAGACAATTTTCTTAACATCATGCAGCTTTTTCTCAACTACTGTAATTTGGCTATTGGGAGCAAATGAGCAGTGCTGCATACCTGTTTTTTTTAGTTTAAATATACTAGAGGCATACTAGGGCTTCATACAGGGCATTAGGGCAACATCCTCCACTATTTCTAATAGTGAGCTCTGCAATATAGTTGATTGCCTTTTCTATCCCTATAAAATAGATGATAAAGCTGTTTAAATAGAATTATTAGGGACATGTTCTCGTATCCCTTTACAGCTGTTGTGTTTGCAATTGCATTGCACAAAGTCACTGTCAATGATACGGTGGCTCTTGGTACCAAAACAAACAGTGCATGCTTAGGCTCCATTTGGTATAATTCGACCTCCGCACTTGTACCATTGTTATTTGTCTTTGTAATTGGATGGTTTGGAAGTTTTGCATGGGCATTTGCTATAAATACGATGAATTCGTACAAAACGTGGTTAACTACCTCTAGAAATTAGTCATATTTGGGGTTTCAACTGTAGATCATTGTGATTTCTGATACACCTCAACAAATATTTTCGGAGTTTTAATATTCTTCTGTCATTTACCATTGCTGTGTTTCTTCAAAACAAAATTACAATTAGTGTGATTATTTTGGTCTCTGATGACGTTTTGTGGGTTTAATATTTTTTTCTCACCCTGGAATGTTTTTCCTATGCAGGAAGCACCCTGTGGCGATTTGACGACACACTTATTCTGTCACTTGTGTGCTATATGCCAGGAGTACAGGGAGATCCGTGAGAGAACAGGCAGTGGGTCCTCATCGGTTCCTAATGTGACTCCACCCCCAGTTCAGACGATGGATGAGCCTTGATCTTAACTGATATGAATGTATGTTATCTGACAAACTTTGTTGTGTGACCTGGTGGCTGGTGATGCCTTTGCCTGCTGGTGTTTTGACATATTTTTCACAATGTTCCTATGTGGTTTGTAGAGTTGTAAACATGGGTTTTGAACTAGTGAACCACTGACAGTTCATGGAAGTTGTAAACACAGTTGTACCATGGAACTGTAGCAGAATTGTACAGTATTTTTCTCTCGCAACAAATCAGCCAACAGTACTTCTCTTGTTGAAGGTTTCATTGTGTTCAGTTCTATGAAGTGTTTTTTTTTCTTTTTGTCGAACAATCAAATTGCCAACTGCCTGCAGATGAACGATTCAATATTGTGGCGAGTGGTATAAATTTCAGTTTATTCAAAAGTTTTCGTTATACAAACATAGCACACGCGCAAATTCTTCAGATTACATGGCACATACAAAGATACAGTCTCTTTTATTCTGTTGTTCCTGCACAAAGTCATGTAGTACTAATGAGTTCTCTCTTCCTTCAGGCTTGAGCATCATCATCCAACCAGAGGGTTCACCACATGCCCAAGGAACAGCAGGACGCCACTCCTCTCCTCCACGATGGCGAACAAGAAGGGCCGGTCCGCTACGAAATCTACCGGCGGTGGACCCATCCTTGCACACTGTTGTATGCACACGGCCGTGGCCGCGGCGGCCACGGTGCCGACCTCGTCCACCTCTACGGTGGCCTTGTGGTACACTCCTGAGATGAAGAGCCCGTTTCCACCGGACACCATGCCGGAGAAGTCGCCCCCGCCGAAGGCTCGGTTGACTCCCAGCTTCTGGATATCGCCGGATGCCTCAAACTCGAACGTGAACTTGAACTTTGGCACCATGAACCGCCCGACGGGGACCTCGTCCACCGGCGTGTGCCTCCTGATGAACCCCGGCGTCGAGACGGCCTTATCGTACAGATCACTGATCTTAAGAGCCTCACCGTCGGGTAGGAGTAGAAGCATGTAGAACGCGGCATGCCGCGCGCCGCCGTCGTTCTTGTAGGGCAGCTTGAGCGCCTTGAAGCCGGGGAACACGGCGACCTGCTGCTCCTTGAAAAGGCTCGTGGTCATGAACGGCGCGCGCACGGTGGCGCCGTCGGGAAGATGAAACGGCGCGGTGAAGTTCCTGAACCGATCGAACGGCCGAGCCCACGTCCCCTTGAAGTAGATAGCGTTGGCGAGGACGAGCACCGTGAACGAGTCGACGGAGCCGGGAGGCAGGACGTCGTCGATGAGCCCTTTCGTTGCTTCGCTCACGAACGCGTTGACTCGCCGCCTCGCCGCCTCGGGCTCCGAGGCGAAGTCGACGGACTCCGCGACCGCCGCGTAGCGCGACGTGGCGGCGTCCCTGAACTCCGACGTGAGCGCCCGGCCCCGGTCCACCCAGACGCCGCAGGCGAAGGACGTCTGCGGGAGGTCGCGGAGCCTGGCGACCAGCGCGGTCGCCGCGGCGCGCTGCAGCTCGTTGAGCGAATCGGAGCCCAGGAAGCCCAGGAGCTCCCGCTGCGTCTCGCCCCGCGCGCCCGCGGCCACCAGCGCGAGCGCCGCGTGGAACGACAGCGGCGAGACGATGAAGTTGCGTTCGCCCGCCGCCCGCAGCCCGGCCTGCCTCGCGAGCGGCAGGCACGACGCGCCGCCGTCCGCGTCGAGGTCTGGCGGCACCACCGCGGGGACAGAACGGCGGCCGCTGCCAGCGAACACATCCGGTCGCCGGTGTCGCCATTCCGGTTCCGGAGCCGCAGGCCCGGCGGCGAAGCTGGCAAAGGGCACCTCGCCGGGCGGTCCCCACGGCACGTTCTGTGTCGATGGACGTGGACCATCAAATGGGTTCGCGAAGGACACGGGCATGCTCCAAGGGAACGGATCAACAGGTGCCTGCGCGAACACGGGCGCGTGCTGGGGCGCCCAAGGGTGCGGCGGGGCGAAGGCGAACCACGGCCCCGCCATGGACCCGAAGCTCAAGTCGCCCGCGCCTTGTCCGTCGTTGTCTCGGGAGCCTGCTCCTGCTCGTGTCGCGGTGCGCTCGTCGCCGTGGTGCTGGACGCCGCGACGCGGTGTGCTCATCGTGTACGTGTGCTGCGAGGCCTCAGAGCTCAGAGCGCTCCGGCTGCTGAGGACGAAGCACCAAGCGTATGGTTCGTCACGCTAGTTAGCACCACCGCCGGGGAACCAGAACGAAAGAACGCACTGGTAGAGTGGTAGTTGATAATTTTGTATGTTCGAAAAAGAAAAACTTTGTACGCAAAATTGGCGCGAAGATGGCCTGCCCTGCCGTGCGTTCTCTCGACGGAAACTCACCGGCACGCTGGGGCTGGGCCACTGGCGGGATCGCCGGGTAGCGCAGCGGTTGCACAAATTGAAAGGCTGGATGGGTGGGTGGGATGAGAATGTTGCAAGTCTGGTGCTCCATTTATGGAGAAACGGGGTAGTGTTGAGCCGCTAGTTTCTTCAATGACAAGTAAGCTTGCTCAAAGTCAACGGAGGCTCTGAGTAAACTAACGAGTAAACCATTCGGCAAGCGCGTACAGCTTGGTTAGGGCGTAGAGCTTTGAGTCTGGTATACCCTGGTAGCAATGCCATTATGCCACTCATTGGCTTGGCGAGCTCATGGCACAACGTCCGCTTCACGCAGCTTTCACACGTCATTCAACTACTCACAATGATTATTATATTTAATAAAAGGAACGATGCACCAATTAGTTTCTCATAATTGACAAATTCAGGGTAGAAAGTGTTTGAATAGAAGGGTAGCAACGATGCACCAATTAGTTTCTCATCTTGTGAGGAACAACGAGGGGTACTTCGACCGACAGATCAACAGCGAAACCGTATCACTTTCATAATTGACAAAACAATTTGCTTCGAAAACCTCCTCTGAGGCAATGTGAGGAGTAAAAACTATGGGACCAACCGATCCATTCTAACCTTTTTCTATAATCAACAATGGTTATAAGGAGCGTTCTCTGTAACCGCTTTCGTGCAAGTACAGCACAATGAAACACTAGCACACGGAGAAAAGAACATAGCTGGTTTTTGTTTTTTTTATTCTGACGCGGGTCCTACTTATCGATTTAGTGAGAGTTGAACTTTGTTAGCTCAGTTCTACCTTTACACTGGAGCTGCCCTTAGATTGTGTAGTACTAAACACTTGCTTGTAGCTTTTTAGTTGTACCACCATCGGTGTTACACCGTAAATCATCTACTAAAATATGTCATGAGCATCATGTTTATGTGTTAAACCATGTAATAAAGTGTGTAGATCAATTTCTGTAACTCGAAACGATCGACAGAAATGCGAAATGAAAGTTGATTCGATAGTCATGTTATATCACTTATGGTTTAAAACCATTTTTTATTAAGCAAAAATGTTATAGAACATGTATGTGATACATAAATAAAGTTTGAAGTACAAACTTTGTCAATGACAATGAAATACTTGCGGTTGAAAAATGATATTACTAGCTAATATTTTCACTAGCTCAGAAATCGCAAATGAAAGTCAAATTCAGCTAAAAACTTACAAATTTTCAAGTATGCCAACAGTTAGACATTGCTATGTTTAGCAATTTATTGTGAGAGATTGTGTTAAGGAGTGGTACAATGTTATAGCTCGATTTGGTAGCCTCATGTGCCATCTTGAGTATGGTGAAGATGGTTTATGTCCTAAAGCAACCGTTTGGTCGTGTTGAACGCTTTAAAATTCGTGTGTGTCACTATCTCGAGCGGTCTGGCGTCGTGGGCGCAGATCACGTGCGTGGCCACCCGCTCGCGCGCCGTGGTCGTGGCGTGGCGGCTGGTGGCGCCGCTCTGAACTGGCAGGGCTCGGTGGCCGGCCGCCCCCACCATGAGAGCATTGCTGCTTGCCGGCTACCCGTCTCGCTGACTGCCTGCTGCCGTCTCGCGCGCCGTGCCATCGCGTTGGGTCGGTCGAGCCGCCTTGGCTTGGCTGAGGTCGGTCGTAGCGGTCCACTAACCCCATCCCGTGCCCATTGCCCTGCCTCGCGTTGCCGCTCTTAATGTCGCCGCGGTCGCGCTACTGCTGCCCTCCGTGCCGCGTCACAGCGCAGCCGCAGCCGCTATCGTCACGTCACCCTGCTGTGTTCTGCTGCTGCTGCCCTCACTGTCTCGCGTCGTGACGCTACTACCCGTCATGTCTCCGAGCACATGGGCTTCCCCTTGCTGTCTAGCGCCGTCGCCATGCCATTAATGGTGCTGCGGCCGCGCATGCCACGCTACCCCACCGCCTGCACGCACACGTTTTGGCTTTGGCTCCTGTGCACGTGTCGCCCTGGTAGCGTCAACCGCACCCCGCCAAGGCAAGGACGGACCGAGCCGGACCTACATCTTCCCCCTCATTGGCTTTTTTCTTCCACCGCCCGCCATGGCGTGAAAGCTGCTCTTAAATTCGGTAGATACATGTCACCTCATGTCGATTCACTGCCTCTGTGGCTCCGCCTGTGAGTCGTCTAGCCGCCTGACCTTACCCCGCCTTAACTCGTGTCACGCCGATCTCCAATTTTGGAGTATCCCTCCGTCGTGCCATTAAGGTCGGACTCAGCTGTGGACGAGGGCAGTCACCCACCGCACCACTCCACGCCAATCCACCTGCCTCACGAGCTTTGCCTCCACCTCCACTTCACCATGCGCACCTCGCTTGCACCTCTACCACCTCGCCGTAGCTGCTGACGTGGCTGCGCCATCTTGGAGCGCCGCCGCAACCCTCCGGTTGTGCGCGGACAGCCCTTATTCGCTGATCGTTCCCTCAACCATCACTACAGCCGTGACCAGGGTAAGGTGGGGTTGCTCACGCGCTAGCCAATAGCTACGCGGTGGTCTAGGATGGCCGGTACGGCCGCACCAGTGTCGCACGCGGCCGCTCGCCATGGCCACCGCTCCCGCAAGCTTCGCTGCTCCCGTAACTTCATCTAGTGTAGGCGCTAGGACCATAGATGCAGGTTGGCCCGCTATCGGGGTCGTTGCGTGCCTTAGTTGGCCGGCATCACCATCCATTGTCGTGCCCACCGCGCCAGCGCGCGCAGGGGTGGCCGAGGGCCTTGTCGTTGTAAAGAGGAGAAAGATCCGAGGGTTTCGTTGCAAAGTCGTTGTCTGTAGAAATAATAACATGGACTGCGAGTTGTTTTGTTCATAGTCCAGGGGCGTTTTTGCAAGAGTGCCAACACGCGCGGGCTTCCTCGTCGTGGGCCGCCTCCGCGCGTGGGCCGAGTGGGCCGAAATCAATTTAGCTTTTTCGTAAAGAATAGAAATAGCTTTTCAGTTGTATTTCTGAGCTGAACTTTGGTAAATCATATAAAATCATGTAGGTATCCAAAAATTGTGAAACCAATTTTGTTAGGTTCCTAAAATTGTGCTATATTTGTTGGTGTATTTAGTTCATGCTTATATGTGTTGACCTGAGGAGCTATTAAATCATTTGAGAGTGCTTAATATTATTAGGTTAAATATTGTAGGAATTTTTGTGGCAAAATGATGATAGCTTTAGCTTTGAAAATTTTACAGTAGCTTCATGGTATTATTATGTGCTCACTGTAATTTTTGTAGCTTTAGAATAGACTTAACATAAGGGTAGTTAAAATGCTCTTTATTTCAATATACATTAAATCATTAGTGGAAGTAAGGATATATCTTTAGTTGCTAAGTTAAAGGTTGTTAGTTGAACCCAATACCTTGTTTGATGAAAATGATAGCTAGCTTAGTATCTTAGTCATTAGAGTTTGCTTAGTAGCTTGGTAGATGTATTGTTATTTTAAGAGTTGTTGTTGTCGTAATACTAAGTGTTGCATCATCATCGCATGCATATAGAGAACGAGTTGGCGGAAATCGTGACCATCGGAGACAACGAGTTTGAGGAGGTGATCGAGGAGTACGAGGAGATCCTCGTGCAGGAGGAGGTCCCGGAGCCACCACTGACTGACCGAGCTGACACCCTGCCTGCCCAAGGCAAGCTCCGGTGCATAATCCTTATTTTAAATGATCACTGAATATATATATGTGTGTGTGTGTGATGTGCATTTATATTACAGGATTTATATTGAAACTATATGCATAGATAAACCTACCTATGAGTCCTACTAGTATAGGTCGAGTAGCTGCTATGCTTAGGCTATCGGTAGCGTGAGTAACCTGTCGTTACTCGCAATAGGTGATTATTATTATCACCCTCATAATAAAATGGTGAAAGGAAAAATAGAGATCAGGTAGGGATATGGTACGGGTATTGGTGGGTGTAATAGGTTGTGTCCCGCGGCCAATGGAGCATAGCTTGGTTACACTGTTTTCCCTGTCCGTGTCGGTTAAGGACCAGCCGTTGCATTGGATTCTAGTTAGGTCACAGACTTATTATCCTGAGCACATACTTGCTTATGGGAGTGAGAAGGCTTGTTGCTCTCTTGTCGTGGGTTTTGGCTCTTTCCGGACCGACTGATTGGAGGCGAGGATGGTGGTGGTCTAAGCACCACACTGAGTCTGGGACTCAGGTGTGGGGGCTTGGAGTCTAAGTTTGGATGGGAACCTGGACCCCTTGATAGGAGAGTGGTGGGTTAGTCCTGCTTGTGCCTGGGGTACAAGCGGGGCATGTGTTTCATGGTACCTAGTTGGGCTACATTGATTCATGAATCACCGTGTAATACGATACGACTTGTCTACGATCTAGCACCGTAGTAAGAACTGGAAGATGAAAGATGGTGAAATGGATCTGATTGCTCAACTCTTGCTTGAAAGTAGAACACGTGCTTACATAGAATGGCTAGATAAATGAACTAATCATGACTACTAATAAGAACATCCATAAGGATTCACTACTAGTAAGGCTTTTCGCAAAAAGGAAACCCAGCAAACCATAAAGCTTATCATATCCTTTGGAGTCGGGAAGTATTCCCACTAGTCAGGTAAGTATTGCGAGTACATTGTGTACTCAGGGTTTATTTTCCCCTGTTGCAGGTGCATCTTGAGGAGTAGCTGTTGAGTGGAGGATTCTTCTGGTGGGTACAGAGGGATCCTTGTATCTTATCGTTAGATGTTTATTGTAATTCCGCTGTTTAAATTCC